TTGTTGCTCTCTTTTTTTTTTTTTGTAGGGTTTTGGCTACTGATGCCTATGACAGAAATTCGGTGCTCCATGCGCAATAACATTCGTGCAATAAATGAAAAACATGTTTTTCTATAGACTGTAGCGCGAAAACGGCTATAACGAGTTTAATGAAACTTTCCTATAATGTTCTAATAATTGTCCTTTCAATTTTCGTATATGGACTAAATTTCCGAGAAAATTCAGAGAAAAAAGTTATAAAGAAAAGAAAAATGTTATGGAGCCTTACTCTCTAAGTATATATTATACGATAAAATTTATAATAACAATTTTGAAAGGTAATTAAATTACAAAAAAAAAAAAAATCATCCTAAAAAAAATTCCTACCTATGCTAGGTAAAGAAAGTATTACAATCGGGTGAAATTTTCGACGGATCTATACGTTTCAGAGCTCCCTCAGGCTAAACACATTCTTAGTCTGTTTGTTTTTTTTAAAGGTTATGAAATTCCCTTAAGTTACAGCTATTCAATTTCCAATGTAAGATTACAGGTACTTATCCTGGTGTTAGAAATGGATGCATGAAAGAAAAAAGATGACTAAGTTTAAGTTAGAAAATCTGTTGCCCGCATCACACAAGCTTCACTATTTCCTCTACTTTTAACAGAAATTATTGCTTGACAATACTAAGCTATGGCAAAAAGTTTTTGATCAGCAATATTACAGGGTACTGAATTTTTTACACTGATCTACCTTAAGCCGGTTTACATTGCTTTAGTTTATCAAATTGTACTCAATTATTTTCTTTGATAAATTTTCAGGAAAATAAATCTAGTTCAATTTTTTTTTGGCTTTTCATGAACATATGTAAAGATATAAAAACTTTTCTGAAATAGGTGTAAAGTCGTGTGAATGGACATACCAGATATTTTTCTATGGATTTTATTTAACTTTTAGTAATCATTTAAGGTTCGAAATTAGAATTCGTTATCATTAAAATTTTCTTTCGTTTGGTACCTCATTCGTCAAAATCGATCGGTTCTGAGAGAGAAAAGATTGAAAAAAAGAATCTAAGAAGCACTCTGGCCGTTCTCTCACGATCTGCCGGCTCACTCGAGACTAATTGTACCGTAATTTCTATTTTCCAAATAATAATAAACAATAAATCCTCCAATAAATTTTATAGGATAAATATTACGGCGGGAGAACCCCAGGATAGTAGAGGCTTTACGACTAAAAACAGCATGGAAAGTCGTGAGTGGCATCATTAGTACCCACTCTTTTTACTCGATCAAGAGTCCTTATTATTTATTCGGGAACATTATCTATAATTCACATCTTGCCTAATCTTCAAAAATTGAAATAATTTGTTGTAGTTTTCAAAATTGATAATTTTAAACGGTTGATCGCATTAATCTGAATACAAAATTAATTTATCGACATCCACACTGCAAAAGCCTGTAAGGAAAAGGAAAGCTTTCCTGGCCCACCTTGCTTGTATCCTGATCCCACAAAATGAAATTTACGATGTTTCATTTCCAGTCCGGCGCCTCTGGGCAAATGCCCGGGTTCCCTTGCTCTGAGGCCGGCACTGCTTCCCATGTAACTAGACGAAGCAAAGAAGAGAGTGGAAAGTGGAAATATAACATTACAACGCCACCAAATTTCAGATAGTGAGAGATAGAGAATTGATTTCATTAATTGGAAAAATTGGATATGGAAAAATATTGAGACATGATCTAGACACGACTCATTAAATTTTTATTTATTAATACATAACATAAAATTGGACATAGCACAAATTAAAATAAATAAAAAAAAAACACAATGAGCAAATTTTTTTGCAGCTTCTCAGCGTCCCATCACAATCCAGGAAATAGTTCAGTTCAGCAGGTCTCTTGGCCACCGCCTATGTAATCATCGAGGTGGGCTGTACGGGGTTCTAGTGCTTTTAATGTTTTCTGTCAGAGGATTTGTGTTCTAAATTAGTCTTTGTTGAAAGTAATTGTAGTTTGCTTTCGCAGTTTCTAAAATTGTTGGGATGTTCAAGTCTTTATATAATCTATCGTTTGCGACATAAAACGGTGTGTCAACTATCCTTCGTAAAATTTTGGATTAGAAAGACTAGATTTTTTTAATATTGGAAGTTTTAGCATAACCCCACAGTTCTATGCCATTATTCCAAATTGGTTTTAGTAAAACTTTATAGAGAGTTAGTTTGTTAGTCAAAGATAATTTTGAACGTCTGTCAAGTAACCTAGATAAAAAACCGTATCGTCTGTTTAATTCCATACGTTTTTGTCTAATGTGGGTCCTCCAAGTTATTCTCTTTTGTCCAGGTAAAAATCCAAATATTTAATTACATCGGATGCAGGGATTTCAATGTTATTAAAATATATTTCGGGAGAAGAGGTATGATTAGGAGTGAATACTATGTACACACTTCAATTTTCCACCTTGTGGCCCAATCAGCAATATCGTTCAAGTGGTTTTGAAGAGTGGTGGATGCTCGAATAGGATTTTAATCTGAGCTGAGGATTGCGGTATCGTCAGAAAAAGTAGCCAGTGGAGTGTCATTGTGTTGCGGTAGGTCAGACATATATATATTAAACAATATTGATCCCAGGACACAACCCTAAGATACTCCTGCTTAAACAGATTTAATGTCTGAATATTCTGTCCCTACTTTTACTACAAAATGTCTGTCTGTTAAATATGAGAGTAGTTTTAAATAATAGGTGAGAGGAAGTAAAATTTTAAGTTTGGAAGGGAATCCTTCATGCCAAGCTTTATCTGAAGCTTGACTGATGTCAAGAAAAACTCCAGGACAATAATTCCTAGATTCTAAAGAATTAGAAATATAATCTACTAATCGATGGCATTGTTGAACAGTAGAATGATGCTTTCTGAAATCGAATTGATGATTTGGAATAAATTTAAAGATTTTTAAAAACAATCGACATATACAATAAAATTTAAAAGAACTGCGAGTGATTAGGAGACTTCAGTGTAAATGACCTCAGTGGTCGAAACAATCAAATAAATAAACAATCTGAATATTAAGAACTGGTTTCGAACTTTTATGAGTGAGGAGAATATATTTGCCGAGTCCACTAACCCCTGGAGGAATGCAGGGAACTCTGTTTTCGGCCTCAGATCTGCCGAGATAGGAAGCCCCTTTTCCCGGGAACGATTTCAGTGGCATCCAGAATACGGGGACCTCTCCTCCCCACTTCTTTCTTCCCTCAGGACCTCAGATCCGTTGAGCAATATCTCCTAGTAGTCACTCCATCAGATACCGTTTATTCCTCGATTAAGGGATTTTATTAGGATGCATTTAGCCGTTTACGGCTCCATTCAGACTGGATAAATCTAATTTAAGTACTCCATCTTTCTTAAAGTAGCATATAATAGTCTGTTGAGATATGAAAAATATTCTTGGATTAACATTATATTTTTATAGCTTATTTTGGTATATGAGAGACAATGTATATTTTCAATGAGAAACGTCAAATTTATTCTGATTGGTTTTATGAATATTTTTGATCTTTTTTTTTTTCTTTTTTTTAATACATGCCTTTAAGATCACCCTATCGAGGTGGACAAAGAGGAAGCGCGAACAAGTCACCTTTTTGGATAAGATAAATATTTCAAAATAATAATGTTTTGTCCAATTCTTGTTCATGAATATCCTAAAACACCTCATAAAGCACTGGCTTTGTATTTTGGTTTATTATTTTCAATAAGGAACCATTGTGATCGACCGAAAAATTAAAAAACTTAACCCCCTCTCAAAATTTGATGATTCACGTTTCAGGATATGTAGAATTAAAAAATTAATGTTTTTTGTCCGCCGTCCGCCCATTTTCTCAGAAACTACTGGACAGATTTTTTTCAAATTTGGATATAAATTCAGAGCACACCCGAGGATGATCCTCCTTCGTCGACATTACTATCCGCCTTTCAAAATGGCGGCCGAAAAACCTGCGATGCTATAGACTAGAGCCTAAAAGAATGTACCGATTTCAATGAAACTTCGCTAAATTCATTTTCTCGACGCCCTTTAAATTTATCTGTATAACCTTCATCAACGAAAAGAAGCTGGAAAAAAAGCTACGAGGGATGGTAAAATTTTTCTTAGCATTCCCTAAGACGGGAAATTCGGCGATGATTTTGGATCCGACCGTGAGATATGAGACCAACGACCTCGATCAGGCAGAAAAAGTGGAAAGGGAGAAAAAACAGATATATGAGAAATGCATCCCTTTCCTTAGTGAAAAGTTCCGCGAGAGTTTCGGGCCGATAGAGTTCCACGTGAGAGGCCTTTGGTTCGGAGCTCGCGGAACGATACCAGACTCAACAAGGAGCTTCATGGAGGGCCTTGGTGTCGACATAAAGGACGTGGCAAGGTTGGCAGAGAGTATAATCCTCGACTCCCTGGGAATCATCCACCACCATGTGCATGGGAGCGGATAGGGGGAGAGTTTGCTCGCGGGGGGAGGCATGCGTGTGTTACAGCATTTTTTATATTATTATTTATTGAACACGTCCACTGTACTTTATGAATTTTTTATGTATTAGGTTAGAAAGAGAGAGGAAGGTTATCTACCTATGATAAAGTGTTATTGTGCTTCTCAGTGTTTTGTGTTTTTCAAGTTTGTTTTGTTAGTTTTGTTGTATCGTTTCCTACTGTTTGTGTTATTTTAGTGTTTTATAGTTTTTTGAACATGATTTAGTTTTAGTTTATGTTTATTTAGTTAATTTTATAAACTTTTTGAGTGAACAGTGGAGGTTAAGGTTAACTTTGTGGTTTTCACGAAGGTTTAATCTAACCAAAAGAACGTTTAGAGACTATTACGTTGGTGAAGCACTAAGGTAAGTTCATATTAAAGTCTTACTTTTGAAGATAGGAAATTTATAAGTTTCCCGAACATAGGTTAGATTTTGAGTGTTGAATATTTCCTTCTACTGTTGTTCACCCATTATTTCAACGTATAAAGTTGTTAATTTTGGATTGCGTAAGATGGCTGATGAAATTGCATCAGCAATGGAGCAGGAAATGGTGGAAGAACAGGCTATAAAGTGCCCAAGGCCTTCAGCAAAGAGGCAAAGGAAAGGATCTCCTGACGCCCGAGAAGAAACAGATAAAGAACGTGTAGACGATAGTCTTCTGCAAGATGCACGTAGAATCAAAGAAAACATCAGGGTCTACATGAACGCAACAGACAGGAACGTGAGTGCGAAGGTACAAAAGCACGTTAATGGGAAAATGCAGCAGTTAATAGATATAATGGAGACAATATATGATAAGAACTATGAAAAAACGTTTTTAGTACAACGTGTGGTAAAGGACACATTAGCTTCCTCTGAAATGTATGATATCATAGTAAATGCATTAGTGGAAAAAGCAGTACCTATGGTTATCGAGGGACTCAAGTCGGAAAGTAAAACCATACAAAGACCACTGTCAGAACCTCAGACATCTCGGGAGTTTCCATGCGTTAAAGAACAACCGCTATTAGCCGATGCCCACGCTATTATTGAGACCACGGAGAATGGAAGTTTCCAGGAAGTAAAGAAAAAGCAAAGAAGGAAAAAGGCTCTTCCACAAGTGGCCAAAGAGATCGAGGCCTCTAAACCAATATCAGAGGAAAGTTTGACCAAGAAAAGGTCTACACATCAGACTACGATGGCCGATATTGTTAAAAGGCTTCCATTAAAACCGATGGATACTACAAGACCAACTTATGTTACCATCGCTTCTCAAGGTAAAAGTGCAGCTGACATCATCAACAATCTGCCTTCTCCAACTGAACTAGGAGTCAAGGCGAGAGTTGTACGGGCGACCAAAGCTGGCTCAGTTTTAGTTTGTGTAGATGAGGGTGCCCATGCTAAAAAAATAATTGAATGGCAAAAATTAAAAGAAGTTGGGATGGAGGCAAAATTAGCCTTAAAAAGAAAACCAAAAGTGGAGGTAAAAGGAGTTCCCCTTTCATGGAGTGCGGAAAATCTAGAAAGGGTGCTATGGGAAAGGTTGGCTGCAAAATCGGCCGTTATTTCTGAGAACCAATTAGGTAATATAAAGCCATTGTTCTCATCAATGGCTAGAAATAAAATTACCAATAATTGGGTGTTAGAAGTACATCCAATGGTAAGATATAATCTACTCAAGGAGGAAATAATTACAGGAGGTTGGTGGTCACTGACAATCTTAGATTACCCCGATGCTCCTCCCTGTCTAAGGTGTCAGGGATATGGACATACAAAAGCTACTTGTGAGGCAAATGGCATAGTATGCAAGTGGTGTGCGGCGAGTGGGCATATTGCTAAAAACTGTCCCGCAAAAGGAAATAAGACCGCACCTACATGCGTTAACTGCGTGAGGGAAGGTGTTCAAAAAAGTAAGGCTAAACACCAGGCAGGAAGTAGAGAATGCCCAGTGCACATCAAGAGATCTCAAGAATTAGTGAGGAGAACTCACTATGATTAGACTCAACATCCTGCAGTTGAATATGGGCCGCCGGCATATTGTGGCTGACGAGCTTCGCGCCATGGCACAACGCTACGATATCATGGCGGTCCAGGAACCTAGCTGCCGTGGGAACAGGGTTACGGGGTTTGGCCTCACGTCAAGAGTTATAGCCCTGAGCAGTGGAGAGAGGAGGCCCAGGGCTGCAATAGTGATTAATAATCCTAACCTTGACGTGATGGATCTGAGGCAACACACCATGGCGGATTATGCATCTTGCTACGTTAAGTGGGGCAAGATTTCTTTCACATTGGTATCGGCATACCTACCTGTGAATAGTGATGTAGAAGAAAGCATATCCGCTATGGAGGCGATCATTAGAGAGATGAGGAATGTGATCATGTGCTCAGATACCAACTCCTGGAACACGGTCTGGGGGTCCAATATTACTGACAGGCGAGGCGCTAAAATGGGAAATTTCATAGGCAGAAATCACCTTGTCGTGATGAACGAACCCTCTGCCACCCCTACCTTCTCTGGAGGCATGGGGCAGAGTTGGATTGACGTCACGATCGCCACGCCTGCGCTTACGAGGTATATTGCTGATTGGACTCTCAGATCTGATACGAGTTCCGATCACGTTGCGATAGCAATTGGCCTGGTAAATGAGCCAGGATGTTCCCACGGTACTGATAAGGGTTTCGTCACTAAAATAAATGACTGGAGTGTCTTCAGGTCCTACCTGGAAGGAGTGATTGCAGACGAGGAGTGGGAAGCGGCAGAGATGGATGTAGTTGACAATCTGGACTACAAGGTGTCCAGGATTACCAACAACATTCGTGATGCTGCCGAACACTCCCTCAAGCACCGGAAGGCGAGGGTTCGACCTGTCCCATGGTGGACGCCAGCCTTAACTGTTCTAAAACGAGACCTCTACAAGGCCCGGCGGTCATATCAGAGGTGCAGATGCGAAGAGAGGCGCACTGTACTTCGCAATGAGTACAAGTCAAAAGCCAGGATATACCGAAACGAGGTTCGCTCACAAAAGCGGAAGTCTTGGGATGATTTCATCATTGAAGAGTCTTCGAAGAATCACTGGGTTATTCCGTATAGGGTAGCATTGGGTAAGTTGTCCCCGATGCAGACTATTGCAGCCTTGCGGTATCATAATACTGAGGCAACCACCCTTGAAGAAACTGCCAATGTTTTCATTGAAGCAATATATCCCAGAGATGACCCAACCCAGGACAGCGAAAATGATGATTTTGTGAGACGCACCACGGTATATCCACCTGGTTCAGATTTGTGCCCACCATGGGACATTCACGATCTTCGTATTGCCGTGGATAAGCAGAAGACTAATCGTGCTCCAGGACTTGATGCAATAGATGCAGCGATCTTGAGGAACAGTATCACGTATATTGAAGACCGGCTGTTGAGTATTTTCAATGAATGTCTGGATATGGGATACTTTCCAAGAAGATGGAAGATCGCTGATTTGAGACTACTCTACAAGGGAGGAGATAGGGACAAACAACTCCCTAATTCATATAGACCTATATGTCTCCTCCCTGTGATTAGCAAGGTCCTGGAGAACCTCATGATGACTAGTTTACGGCCTGTTTTCGCTAGAGCAAGTCATCCACGGCAATATGGATCAACCAGAGGCAGAGGAACCGCTGATGCCCTGCTGAGAGTGCGCAGAGATGTTGAGGAGAGGGCGGAGCGGTATGTCATGTTGCTTCTTTTCGATATATCCTCCGCCTTTGACAGCGTATGGTGGCCTAGCGTGCTCCAGCAGCTGCAGAGGTATGATGCTCCTAGTAACTTATACACATTAGTAAGAAGTTATCTCCAGGATAGAAGTGTCAAGATTAGAGGCAATTACTACGAGGTAGAAGCTTCCATAGAGAGAGGTTGCCCTCAGGGATCGGTGCTTGGTCCTGCTCTATGGAAGCTCGTCTTTGATGAGTTACTGGGAGTGTTAGAGGAGGAGCGGTTTCCTGCCACTGCTTACGTTGACGACCTAGCTGCTGTGGTGGCCTCCAACAGCAGAGCTGGAGTCAAGAGAGAAGCAGAGCGATGCGCCAGCCTAGTCGCTAGATGGTGTGAGGGGAAGAAGATGAGGATGGCTGCTGCTAAGACTCAAGCCATCCTCCTTAAGGGAAAGACTGATAGGGCACACCCTATAACGATGTACATAGAAGGTCAGAGGATACGTCCAAGTGAGGTGGTAACCTACCTAGGGGTTAGGTTAGGTGTAGGCCTCAATATGACGCCTCATTTGGAATATCTGGCAGGTAGGGTGGCCCTAGCAATGAACGGTCTAAGTCGTGTGGGGGGCGCATTTTGGGGCCTTAGGTATCCAGCCACTATCACTATTTATAAGGGTGTTGTGGAGGGTATCCTTAGGTATGCGTCTCCCTTCTGGTTCCGAAACCTCACACTCAGACAAAGAAATAGGCTAGCATCGACTCAGAGAACTGCTCTGCTTCGGGTCACCAGAGCATATAGGTCTACGTCGCATGAAGCAGTGCAGGTCTTAGCGGGGGTGGTGCCTCTCGACCTCCTCCTGCGAGAAGAAGTGACCAGGTATGACTACAAGAAAGAGGGCTCAACTAGTCTATCGGAGAACCTACGCATGAGGATTATTGAAAACCCAAATAAATGGAAAAAGATTATCCGGGAGGAAACAATTGAAGATTGGAGCAGACGGTGGGTGACGACTCCGAAAGGCAGTACCTTAAGAAAATACTTTCCCACCGTTGAATCTCGGTTACAGGCGAAATGGGTCCTCCCGGACTATTGGGTTTCACAATTTCTCACGGGACATGGGGGTTTCAGAGCTAAACTCCATGGCTACGGACAGGATATAGATCCCCACTGCCCCGATTGTGGTGTTCCGGAGACTGTTGAGCATGTGGTCACGGCCTGCACTGCTTTCGACGAATTAAGAGCGAGGTTAATGAGAACCACGGGGATTTACGTCCTCACTGAGGAGGAGTTTCCTCAGTTGGTGAGTGAAGAAAACTTCCCGCGGTTCAAAGAGTTTATAAATGGCTGGAAGACGGCGGTGGGCCCAGCTCACTTCAACCTAGGTGCACGCAGGAGAAGAGGACCAGTCCCAGGAAGACCTCCGGATTCGGGAAGCCAGGCCTAAAGGAGCCAGGAAAAAGTAGAAGAGCTAGCTGTGTGCACAGCTTAGAATTTTGTAAACTGATATTATGGCATTAGTGTGTTATTATGCATTAATGCTTAACATCACACTACTGCATACACCCGTGTTGCCCTGGTGGCATGGGAGGGTGGAAAAAAAAATAAAAAAATAAAAATAAAAGGTTAGAAAGAGAGAGGAGAGAATGTGAGTGGGAACATGTATAGGGGGAGAGAAGGAAGAGAAAGGGTACAGAATGATAATAAATGAATGAAAGAAATAGTAAAAATTATAAAAAAGAAAAGGAAAAAAAAAATATATATATATATATATACGTATAAAATATTGTATACTATGCTCATACATATTGTTAATCCTATAATTGTATAATAATTTTAAATAATGTCTGTAGTGATTAATAAGTATGCTGTGTTGTTAGCAACCCAATGTAATTGGGCAGCACCATTTTATTTTATTTTATGATGATAAAGTGATTCTTTCTCTCTACTGAATATCCTAAAAAAAATAAAAGTTTTAAACTCGGGCAATTAGAAGAAAAGGTTATATCCTACTGCAATGGTTATATCTTTTGTTTTGGTTTTTGAATTCCGGATGTGTTACTGAAGTAATGCTAGTTTTTTTAGAACATTAGTAATGATTAAAAAAAAAAGTTTAGTCCAATAATTGGAATCACCTTTTATTTATTTTTATTTTTAATTGGGAAAGTAATGTTACTTTAGATGTTTAATTGTTTGGAAATAATAAACCATTGTGAAATAATTTGCAGCGTTTTTATTTATAAAACAACTAGTGAACAAAGACCAAGAATGTGGATTGTACTTCATACTAGAGATAAACAAATTTTCTGTTGATTTTTTATTTTCTTATCTTTAGTTTAATAATACAAAAGAATGATTTACAACTGTTTTATTTATTCAAAATAGTCTCCACTGCTATCAATACATTTCTGCCAATATGTTGACAACTTTTCCATTCCCTCGGAATAGTATTTCCCATCTTTAGAATTGATAGAACTCCAAAAACGCATTTTCTAATTCCCTTTGTCTATTATTTTTTTTTATCATGTAAGTAGTGGTCCAGATGTCTTAAAAAATGATAATCCGTAGGCGAGAGGTCCGAAATGTGGTTTCATATCCTAAGCTCCAAAAGTTTTTGTGATGTCACACGAGAGACATATAGCTGGGCGTTGTCATGCAACAAATTGGGCCCAATTCGATAGATTAAAGATGGCTTTATTATTGCCAATTTCTGTTGCACTGCATTAATTTGGTTGCAATATGATTCGGATTTGATGGTTTCTCCAGGTGATATTCCTCAGAATGTGAATTTCTGAGGACCCAGACGAATCAAGATAAGATTGTTATTATTATAATGGCGCTATGGTCCTGCCAGAACCCGGACCTCCTCCACTACAGCCAACCAATTACGTATCCAATCAGATAGTTCTCCCATTCATTTTATTTAATATATTGAATCTTTGTTTTTCTTATAAAAACTTATTATATCCCTTTTTTTAGAAGGACCTATGACTTATTGAGGGAACACCATGAAAACAAAACAGACACTTATAACTATATTGGTGGAGATGCTATAATTTGTAAGCAATACCCATAATGGGCTTGTCATTCCTGAGTGAGCCAAGACAAACTTTTCGTTTTTCAAAGCAAGGGGGAAGGAGAAGGGAGGGGGAGGAGACTCATTGAGTAAGGAATCCTTCAATGGGTCAGCTGTCAGCGCTGTCATTAGGCGAGAATTGTTTCTAATGGCCGGTCTTTCTCCTCGCTTTGAGCTAAGAGCTTCGAAACACCCAGCTGAGGGGCCTTCAGTGCCAATTATATCCTCGTTATCTTCATTGGTCTTCCGCTGAGGATTATATTGTTAGCCGGAAAATATTTTAACAAACAACGAAATTGTGGGTTCACTCATAAAGCTTGACGTCTCACTCACAAGGTGAGGTTACGGACGTGGAGTCACCGACTTTTTTGGTGAAACTAGGTAAAAAAATATTTTGTTTTCATTTATTTACTGGTTCTTCGATCTTCTTTTTGTTGTCTTTTTCTTATGTCTCTTGACTTTCGCCATGAGTCTTCTACTAGCTTTAGGCTGTTACAGCCAATACCTGTGATCGTTTGGTTCTCTTCAAGCCTTTTATTCAGTTGAAGATATCCTGCAATAACGCAATTGCTCACTCTTCATCAGGCACTTTCCTGAAGGACGATTGTTTACAGAAATCTCCATCCTGCTTGATGTACTTCCTCAAGTAATCGAATCTGTTTTGTTCTTTGTTATAGACAAATATAGTTCACTTGGTGTGGCATGACTTCTTTTTAAGAATTTTAGTATATTTTTCATTCTCGGCATAAAGAAGCCGAAGTTAACTAACAACGGCAGTGCTAACTAACTGGTTTGCTAACAGCCCACTACATATGATTTGTATTCTTTAATGTATTCGCAGACTTTGACCACTACATATTTGAAAAATTAGCGTTAATAAAATAGATATATTTTCATTTATAATAAAACATTTTTAAAAAATAAAAAATTATACATTTTAGATATATAAAAAAATATATAGAAATTCAAAATAATCTAATTTATTTTGTCAACATTTTAATATTAAATTTATTTCATTAAGTTCAAAAAGAGACCTTTCATTGTTACTAAATAATTGGTTATTTTATTAATCCAATTAAAAGAGAAAAAATTATCTAAGAAAAGCTATTGACTATCTTTCAGAGCGGTTAAAGTCCGTTTCTGTTATTTATATAGTTTAAAATTAAAACCCCTTATTTTCAATAAGAAAATAAGCTATTTAGATCTTTATAAATATTACTTAAAAAGAAATTAAAAAAAATTATATTTATTTCTTCTTATAAAATTAAATTTTAATTGTTTTTATTATCCGTTCCTACCTTACTGATAGATACTTTAAAGTAAATCACAATAACGCCTATTCATAACTTTTTTCCCAGTCCGCTGGTGTTCCTCAAGGTAGTATCCTAGGTCCTATCCTCTATACAGTTTATACAGCTGACATCCCTACCTGTCCCAACACTGTCATCACCACATATGCCGATGACACATGTATCCTATCAGTAAACAATAACTCAGCAATTGCATCCCAAATGCTTCAATCACACATCATAAACCTAGAAGAATGGTGTCAAAACTGGAGAATTAAAATAAACTAAAAAAAATCCCACCAAATTACCTTTACCCTTCGTCGTAAACCAACGACTTCCTGTCCTACAGTTTCCTTTAACAATACTCCACTTATCCCTGTTGAGCAAATCCGATACCTAGGAATCCACCTGGACAAACGACTAACTTGGAATCCACATACTAGACTGAAACGACAAGAAACCGCTCGACGTTTCCGATTACTTCAGCACTTACTAGACAAACGCTCTAAACTTCCCATTAATTACAAAAGACTCATATACTTGACTATAATAAGACCTATTTGGACTTACGGAGTTGAGCTATGGGGCTCCACTAAACCATCGAATTCCTCTCGCATCCAATCCTTCGTAAAATCCTCAATGCTCCTTACTTTGTCACTAATGAAATTATCCATAAAGATCTTAATGTTCCTTATGTGTCAGATCTGGCCCAATCCAGATACCTATCCTTCCATAATAAACTTCAGAATCATCCCAACCCTCTCGTTTCTAACCTTGCTTCCTCTTCAATTCCTGATAACCCTCCGAGGCGTCTGAAAAGAAGATGACCCCGTGATCTCCTAATGTAGTCATATCATTAGAGGGCTACCATTGGGTAGTTACTCAGCAAGTGTATTCATGTCATTATATCAATTATGTCTAAATTTACTTGATGTATTTATGTAATACAGTTGTAAATGTCATAAAGAAATAAAAAAAAAAAATTGCTTTTGTCATGAAATAACATTAATAACAACCGTCAGGGAGTAAAATATTACTAGGTTAACATTTTTGGATAACTGACAAGGGGAGTTTACGGACGTGGGTCCACTAATTCCAATGTAACTTTTTTTGGTGATACTAGCTCGAAAAAATATTTGACCCGTGTCAGAGGGTTCTTGACCGAACCGCCCAGAAGCCGAGAAAAAAAGTTTTAGCATTTTAACATTTATTTATATTGTTTTTTGCCTTAGGTCAGCAGATATTTCTGGCTATAATATACACTCATTACGTATTGCACTAAACGAATTAAAATTAATAATAAATTAAAAAATAAAATAAAATGTGCTTTCAACAAAATAGACAAAGTAAATTATATTCTTAAAAAAAACATTTAGATTCGCTTCTAGCGTCTCTCATAAAAGTCATAAAAACGAAATTGGTTGGAAATAGAAGTATGTAAATTTTTGGAATCACTAGAGATCACTAAAAAAGTTTCATTGAAATCGGTTACCCCACGCCCGTAATCTATTGTGTGTGTTATTGCTTAACTATTACTATTATTATTGCTGTATGTGCTGTTGTGGGATCGTATTGACAAATAGAAGATATATTTCCCATCCGGGCAATGTTGTGTATCTAGCATCGTCAATTGTTTAGGTTCAATAGAAATTATTTATAAATACCTGACCCGTGCGAATTCTCCGTACAAACCAAATATTAGTATCTGATTTTAATACATTAAGGATTCAGCACAACTTTCAAACATTCAATAATGTTTGATACGAAATGGTTTAATAAATATATATAATAATTTATCAGCTTGTAAATATTATTAACACTCTGCCATGGTTTAACCATTGTGTTTTCTTAAACTTATAATTGAAATATTAGGTTTTTCCTTCACTGGATTATCATAAATTTACAAAAGCTTCTAAACATTGCTTTGAACATCTAATGACAAGAGGCTCAAATCAGAAAGGAATAGTTAGACCAATCATGATGTATACCAAACTTGTGTATTCTTCGAATTATTCGATCTTTTTTTTCTATGGGGTGTATAAAATTCACTGTGAGCCACTGAATATCATTATGCTTCCACTGCTTGTAGAGACACAGATATTACTTCAGTAATCAATCTATTTACAGTCGATACTGTTTCTTCCATAAACAGTCTTTCCTGAGTACAGCCTGCTCAGGATTTGTCCTGCTCAATAGGATTCTAATTAGGGAGTGAAAGAAGACACTGGTCGGAAGGGAAAGCTTGAACTATGAAGTGACATTTTATCTCGTCTGGTATTTGAGGTGTGACTACCATTGGATTGTGTTCTTGTTGGTCGATATTCTGACATAATCTTTAAGATGACTGCTACAAACGTTACATATAATATCCAGGAAAAAATACGGAGGAGGATGGAATACTAGTCCGAAACGTATAATAAGAGAAGGAACCCGAAAATTGTTTTTCACTTACCTGTGCTGCCCTCTATTGTAATTATTAGCTTTATACATTAGTCATAAACTATCAATTTCAAAGTAGTTTTCCTCCAACAACAAAAATTGTGCCTCTTACATGAGGTGAGGTTATTATGATCTCCTTCAAATTAAGGTTATTGACAGCAATTTTTAAATTTTCGGGTTTGAACTTATCACTGATCTATTTCGAACGTTGCTATTAAACGAAAATAATTTTATTTTCAATTAGAACCTTTAACGATGAAATCCCAAATTCATTGTGAAAAAGTATTGTTGGTATTGGTTTTAAATTTTAATAAATATGAATGTTTCACAACGATTTTCGCATTTTGAATTCGGTTCTCATTGAAATTTCCGAATTTTTTGTGTTTTAAAAGTATTTCAGGGGAGAAGTATCATACTCATAAAGTCTCTAACCCGCCTCATCATGACTTTTATGATCTCAGATTAAAAAGGCACTGTTGTCATTCTTGAAAGGGAGCAGGTTATAAACGGATAATTAGAAAAAACAATTGTAACCGATAAAAAGTATTTTTTTTTTAATTGTATTTATTTATATTGGATGTAATTATATTCTATTAATTATATTTTACTTGAAGTTTGAAAAATGTTGAGAGATAAAGTTCTGTCATTAAAAAAAATTTTTTTGAATGAAATAAATTCTAGGAAACAGGGAATTATTTATTTATATATATATATATATATATATATATATATATATATATATATATATATATATATATATATATATATATATTTATTTTTATATATAATGTCCATAAGTAATATATAAGGTTTGCTTTTGCTACAATATAAAAAAAAAAAGAAGGAAATTATTCAAGTTAGATACTCCATTCAAAACGGTACCTAGTAGTATTGAGGGACAGTAAATTTTGAATCGAATGCGTACCTCCAATTCAATGATGATATGTGGTCACAATAGAGTGACGAAAACGAAAATTTTTACAAACTTTTGAATAAATTCAATGACAACAAAAATCAGAGTTCGAATTAAAAATCTTTGGGGTGGCTGATTGGCAATTCATCCGATTAGCCTGGTACTAAAACCGACGCTCGTTCGAATCC